CCATGCCCAGGTCTCACCTTCATGGCGACAACATCATCCCTCCACGTGCACATCGTCCACCAATCAGCGCACACTCTGTGGACAGCATGGGGCGGATGGGATACGGAATGCAGTCAAATGGTGTCATGCGACGGGATAAAGTGGAAGTGCTGGAACGTCAACTTGGTGGACAGAATGGAGATATGCGGCGCACGGTACAGCTACCTCGACCGTCAACCATGCCTACTCTCTTCGACCCCGCACCACGTGAATATACGGACGAAGACAAGGAACGACTGTCACGCAAAATGGTGGGAGCAACGGTGGACAAGGCATTCACCACCACTCCGTTTGACGGCTCAAATTTCCGCGAATGGGCACTACGGTTTCGTATGAACGCCCGCGTCACGAATCTGTGGGAGTTCTTTGTGACCCTGCAGTATCCGGTTACCATGGGAGATGGTGACATTGACGACGCTATGGGGCGGCTGGAAATGCTACAGGCGGATTACTCCCAGCGTGCGGCACTCGCCTTTTGGGTCCTATTGCACAGCGTGAGCGCCACGATTCAACTACAACTAGACATGTTCCAGGAATCCTACAGCCCGGCTTATGAAGCATGGGAGTATTTGATGGACACTTACCAAGCCAAAGATTCGGTGGCGAAGGTCTCTCTCTTGAAGCAGTTGGACAACCTGAAAATGGGGAACACCGAAAGGGTGGAGGAGTACGTCAACCGCGCAACAGCAATCCGGGACAAGTTAGCACTCGCGGGGAAGATGGTGGATGAAGATACCTTCACCTTAAATCTGCTCACCGGACTACCAGTGCATTGGGAGGAGATGAGGCACTCGGCAATGCTACACAACGTAACGGACAGCTTCACTTTGCAGCGGATGATGATTCGAGAGCAAAGATATCAAGACCTCATTACCAAGGCGAATCGTGACCGGCGTCCACCTCGCATGGCTGGACAAGCTCGTGGAGATCACTCACCTTCTCCACATGCTACGGGAAACATCGGAAATGATGAGATGGGTTCGGCGTGGTCACCAAAAGAACGGCATGGGTCAATTGGGGAGAAAACGCATGGCAAGGATGGAGATGCAAGTCGCTCATCTCTCGTGTGTTGGTACTGCAAGGAGCCTGGCCACCCCTTCTTCGAGTGTACCAAAGCACCCCCTGGGTGGACACCACCAGGGTGGGAACCGCATACCCGCAGAAAGGCAAAACTGCACACCAGCGACAGCCGTTCGTCCTCCCCACGAAGGAGTTGCAGCCCCAAGCGTGACAACAATGCATCAAAACAGCAAGGGGCAGCCGGGGAAGACAAACAACGTACTGTTACGTGCATTGCAATGGTGGGATCGTCACAAGCTACCTTACCGCCAGCTAAAGCGTCATCTTGGATGCTGGATAGCGGATGCAGCCAGCACATGACTTCGGACAAGAGCTGGTTTGAAGAGTTAAGCGAGCTAGACGAACCTGTTTATGTGGAGCTTGCTAATGGGAGCGAGCTGAGCAGCAAGATGACAGGAATGATCAGAGCAACGGCACCTAATGGGACAACAGTTCGGTACACTGACGTCTTCTACGTACCTGGCTTGAAGAGTAACCTGCTCTCCTATTGCCAGCTACTGAAAAAGGGAGCGCGCATCAATACCATTGCTAATGGAGACACCGAGATCACCATGACTGATGGAGAGGAGTACGTGCGGATTGGACTTGCCAAGAACGTGGATTGAGTGCTCGTGGTGCAGTATGCGCATGCACTTACATCCGCCCATGATCCTGGACATTCCCATGATGGTGCGTCATCAAAGAAGCATGATTGTGAAGGGCATACACGTTTCCGCACACCTGGAGTACACTTGGGTACCCACGGGAGCACGCTTTCCCGCACACCTGGAGTGCAGCTGAGTGCCCGCTCTGCACACGCATCCCTTCAGTACCGCATGGCACACAAAGCATGCATCGTGCGCAAGCCGGCACATGATGATACCAATAATGAAGTCTTACCCCACTGTGTGGTGTGGACTTCAGGGGGAGAAGGAAAAAGGTCCGCGGTGAATGGCGATGGAGCGGACCTTGTAGAACAGGGCTCACCTGCAGCTGATGAAGTTGATGCAACCCAAGGAAGCGGAGATGCTGCAGTAGATGGCTTACCTGCAGCAGGAGTGATTGTACCCAAGGAGGTTGAAGACAATGGTGCGGAAAACACTGTGGGTTGTGGAACAACGGGCGTACCATCTACTGATGATTGCCAAGTCAAGGAGTCTGGAGTTGTACTCACGTGTGCGGCCTCCTCGAACGGTGCGGCACAACATGGCATCACCTAAGTTCACACTCACTCATGTGCTTGTAGCTGTGTACGCGGATCACTACAAGCACATGGGTGGCGGGAGGTGGGGTGTGGAGTATGTCTGGTGGAATAGGAGTGGGACATGGAGTCAAGAAGCATAAGGGGAAGACCTACTCACCAAGGGTTGTCAATAGGCAGGGGGAGCAGGCAGAATGGATGCAGCCGGTCGTCATCCGTCGTGCTGGAGCGGTATCGTACGACTGGTTACTGCTGATGAACGGCACAACCGCGAGGGAAGATCGGAGAATCTACATGGGAGAAAATATTTCTGCATACCTGGTGTGGACACTGTTGCATACCTGGTGTGCACATTTCTGCATACCTAGTGTGCACTGCATACTTAAAGAGGACGTTTCTGCATGTATGGAGTACAGTTTTCTGGGATACTTGGAGTTCGTCGGCATGCGCAACCCTCGAGCTGATGAAGTTCGGCAACTCCGGCTACTACCGTGTATCGACTGGAGTGTATGGGGAGCATCACCGAACAACATAGGTGAAGTTTGAGCAAACTTGGCATGATTGCCAAAGCATGGGGAGAAAGGCCTACGAAGATGCAGCAAGCGCGGACACGAAAATGATGCAGCAGACGCGCAGCAGATCGACAGCTGCTGATGAACGACAAGTCGTCACTTCTATCGCGCGAAGTGTGCGCCCGCCAATGCAGTTCCGCGCCAGCCGTACGCCATGCGTTATCCGCTACCGATTTGCGACATCCGCAGCTGCACTCGTCGCAGACACGCATCCACTACGGTTTCGCGTCATCGCACAGGAGGCGTGCGAAAAAGACAGCTGCACTGACAATCACGTGTCGTAAAGTCTACGGTTTCAGAAATTCGGCGTGCGCTCAGGGCATTCTGCCATGACGATACGCGCATTCCGCCATGGTTTTGAGGAGATTACGCCATGGAGCTGCTACGATTTCCTCAGCATCAACCACTACTCTCTAGATCTCGATCTAGACTGAGGAGATTGGAAGGAGGGAATGGAAAACGTGAAGGCATGTGGTTTGGTTGGAGTTTGAAAGCACCAAAGGTTGGGAGGGGAAAGGTGCTACAGTGACAAGCAGCTTGGCCAACACCAAACCCTAACTTGGTTTGGGCGCACCCCTACCTAGTGGTGGTATACCACCTCGACCACCCCATCCTCCAAGGAAATCGGATTCACTAAAACCTACAGCAAGGGGGAGTGTTGGAAATCCGAATACAGTATAACGAATACTGTATACCAGTGTGCTGTTTGGTTTTAGTGTAGTCCTCTTTATAAGCTTCCAGGTCCTACAATTATTGTAGGGGCCAGAATTATTGGAGGTCAGCATTATTGGAGGGTAGAGGGTACAATTATTGGTACACCATTATTGGTGTGAATGGGTCATTCTGGAGGGGTAGCTGGATGCATATATACCCTGCTGTGTCACATCATTGAGCACTCATTGTGTCATCCTTTTACTTTTCAATGATCAATGCAAGATTTCTATCTTGTTCTTTTCTACAAACACGTTTCCGCTACGCTGGCACTATGCCTTTCTAGCAGTAAAGCGGATGTGAATGAGGTAGGAAGGTGGGGGGAAGGTACCCTGCTCACCCAGATTGACGCTCCTTGGGGCTTTTAGTTTTATTGTGTTGCATTCCTTATGGTAGGGCTCATTCCCTGATTTACTACCCCCGTAGCACACGCTGCAAGTGAGAGCCCTAATAATACCGTATAGTTCCGGCTAGAAGACCCGGGGGACTCTCTATAATTGCTTTGAAAAAATGCTAGGGTGGACATCTTGGCGGTTGCAAATTTTTAAGACCTGGGGTCCACTTATTTATCATCTATCAATCTGTTATTTAGGGTGTACGGCTCAATTTGGGGCGGGGGGGTCTTATATTCGTACCGAATTCGCGCAAATTTCGCGCGAGCGGCACGCCAGATCTGTGTCAGAATTCGAGTCTGACACAAGTGTTAGAATTCGAGTCTGACAAAAAACGTGTCAGAATTCAAATCTGTGCCAGTAAAAACTGATGCACAGTAGCATTAACATATACTGTATACAGAAAAGGGGGGGTCTTATGATGATTAGAGGAAAAGGGGGGGTCCTCACAAAATCTGCCACAATAAGAGTCCCCCTACCCATTCAAGAGTCCCCAGGGACCTTCTTACCGGCGGGTATTTTAGCGGGAACTATACGGTATGTTTCAGATTCGAATTGGTCGCACTAGGTGCAGTTCATGCCCTACATTTTTTGCGCTTTTTTTATACATCACTATGCACAAACGTCTACCTGTTATCACTTGCAGATTCTGAGCAGGTCTCCAAAACTTTCATTGAGTATGCAATGCAGTACAAATGCCAATTCACAATATGAATCATATTTATTTTAAAATGAATCAATCCTTTCCTCCATACTTCTTCAGTTTCTTGCGGAAGCTTCGCTTGCGGCTGAATGCACTTTCCTGTTGAACAAAGGGTGGGGAGGAATGGAAAATGACTCCACAAGAAAAAGACTCACAGCTGAGTGCAAAATTTTCAAAGCGCGCACTCCAGGAGCACAAAACTGACTAGGAACGGGATGAAGCACAGCCAACAGATTCAGATGCCACACATCCCAACCACCATGCTTTCCCCCTTCTCCCCCATCTCACCACAAGCCCCACTCCCCCTCCCCTTTCCCCAGTCACTACGTGTGTTCTTCCCATTCTGCACTGCCTCCCTCACAAATTTGGCCTCTGAAGCACTCACCGTGCTCTCCCTCCTCTGAAGCACTCACCGTGCTCTCCCTCCTCTGCACTGCTGCCCTCACGGCCTCGGCCAACGGCGCGCTGCCAGCTGTGTACAGGCTCGTGACGCGCCCGGGCCTGCCCGCCCTGCCAGTCCGGCCCACGCGGTGCAGAAACTCCACAGCGTTGAGAGCGAACTCGGCCTGGGAGGTGAAGGAAGAAGAAGTGGGAGATGCGAGGGGGAAGCAGGTGATTTGAGTTGGCAAGCCCTGCTCTGCCCCGTTGAGAGCAAACACAGCCTGGCAGAGGAAGACACTTGAAGGGAGGCCGATCGAGAAAGGGAAGAAATTGAGTGCAGTGAATTTCGGTTAGATGTCCACTCTTCGCCCTGCCAGCCGTGACCCGCCCTGCCTGCAGACAGAGGAGATCTCTCCTGCAGTGTGAAGTCAACATTCTCTCCCCATACACCCTGGAGCGTATCGAGTCGACTCCCCATCCTGGAGCGTTCACTCCCCATACATGCTGGCCTACCATGCGTGCCGAAACTGCCTATATAATACAGAGAGTCAACGCCATCAGAAAATGTCCACTTCCTCGCTCACCTGCCCCCATCTTCCCCCCTCCCCAACACCCCTTCTCCCCCTCACCTGCACCACGTGAGACACATGCTCACCTGCACCACGTGAGACACATGCTCACCTGCACCACGTGAGACACATGCTCACCTGCACCACGTGAGACACATGCTCACCTGCACCACGTGAGACACATGCTCACCTGCACCACGTGAGACACATGCTCACCTGCACCACGTGAGACACATGCTCCACGTCAATTCCCCGTGAAGCAGCATCAGTGCACACCAGCACGCCCCCTCCTTCTTGGAACCTTCTCAGTGCGCGCTCCCGCTTGTCCAGTGGCACGTCCTTGTGGTACACCGCACACCACGCCACGTCAGCAGCTCTCCCTGCTGCCACGTCAGCAGCTCCTCCTGTGGCCCCGTCATCGGTTACTCCTGCGGACGAAGCAGCAGCAGAGGTGGACAGGTGGCGCTGGAGGAGCCGGCCAATGGCGTCCACCGATTCCACGTCATTGGCAAAGACCATGGTCCTTTGGATGCTGTCCTGCTGCTTTGCACCCGGCGGACCATTTTCACCGCTCCCCACCCCTTCATATCCCTGCCCAGCCAGTGCTCTGAGCAGTGCAGCGGCTCTCGAGCTGTCATCCACCTGATGCCAGTCGTGCCGTACGCTGACATGCAGGGGGTTGAGAGGGGTCGGGAAGGATGGGGAAGAGGGAGAAGCAGGATCGATGGAAGGAGGGGAGAGGGGCGAGTGGGGTTGGATTGGCAGGTGGCGAACTGGCATATACCTGAGGCTGATGCCCAGTCGCTGTACTTTAGACGAGGCAGGATTGGGAGGACGATGAGGAAGGGAAGCGGGGAGTGGCTAGTGGATTGATAGCTCGTAGCAGCCCTCTCTTGAGCCACACAGGCTTAGGTGTGCATGGGTGTACAGGAGGGGTGTGCGGTGATGAGCACTCACAAGGGGTTGTGGCGGTGCAGCAGGCCACCGCTGACCCACACGGCGGCAGGGAACTGGCGGGCCAGCACCTCCCCCACGCTCCTCTTGGTGCCCACCGGCATGGTGGCCGCCACAAACACATACTGCTTGCTCCGCGCATACTCCCTCCTCCTCCTCCCCCACTTCGCCCTCCTACTCCCCTCCTCCCTCGCACTCTCCCGCACTCTCACCACCACCTTCCCCCCTCTCCCCGCACCTCGCTCGCTCTCGCCCAGCCGCACAGCTGCATCCACCACTGCTGCTCTCTCCTCCCCATGCTTGCCCCCCTCCTCCCCCTCACTCCACTCTCTATCCGCCTCACCATACCCTTCCCCCTCCTCCGCTCCCTCAACCACTCTCTTCTTGCCCTGGTAAGCAGCAGAAGCTGAAGATGAGGCATCAGCGGCAGCAGCAACAGCAACAGCCTTGTTTGCTCCTCCCACGCCTTGTTCCTGAACCACCTCTGGAACCATCTCGGTCCAATGCACCTCCTCATCCTCCTCCCTCCCTTCCTCCTCTCTTTCCCTAACACCAGATCCCCCCGCCAGCCTGGCAGCCTCGGAGCGTTCCTTCTCGTCCAATCGGAAGAGCCCGAGCAGGCGGCCAACGATCCGGGCGTACCCCCCGCTGAGCAGCATGTCGGCCTCGTCCGCCACCACCAGCGCCACGTCCCTCACGAACGCGCAGCGGCGGCGCTGCTGCGGGTCAAACGCAAAGAGATGGTTGACGAGCGCCGCTGGCGTCGCCACCACCACGTCGGGGGGAGAGGAGGGCCACGCCTGGCGAGGAGACGGGGAAGGGGAGGGGAAGGGAGGGATTTGGGATGGGGCATTCTGAGAAGCCAGCAGCAGGTGAGGCGGGGAGGGCGTAGGCCGATACCGGAAGGGGAAGGGCTTAACACGGCAAGACGGGAAAGAGGGGCATATTCAAATCAACTTGAATGAAGAATTTGAGGCGGCTATTCGTGAACACCAACACGGCACGAGTGACCAAGCAAGAAGCGGCTCTCTTAGCCTAGAGTTTATAATTCTGAATTCTGTGGACCTTTCTTTCCTCACCTGCCCACCAACGACAGCCTCCACTGCGAGCAAGGGGCGGTTGTCTGCGGTGCGGAGCGACAACGCCATCTCCATGACCTGTGGTGTGGCGGGCAGCGGGCATAGACGCATGGGGACGAATGTGAGGCATGGCAGGGAATGGCGGGCATTGTTGGCATGGAGGAAAGCAGAGACAATGCAATCCCCATGACCTGTGAAGTGGAGTCGGAGAGGCAGGGGGGATGGAGGAGTGGGAATGTGAAGCATGGCAACGAAGTTCAGGAATGATTGGCATGGAAGGGTGGAGAGGGAGTGTAGAACGAACTTGCACTCACTTCCCCGACCCCCCTCCCATTTGTCCTCGCCACCCCACTTTCCCCGTTCATTCCGTCCCACCCTTATTGTCAGCCACCCACCTGGCGGCACAGGGCAGCATTGGGGCACAGCACTAGAGCAATTTTGTGAGCTCCCACCCACCAACCCTCACTGCCCCGCTTTCCAGCTTTCCACCATCACAACCCCCTCCCCCTCCTCCCCCCCCATCACACTCCCCCCATCACACCTCCCCATCACATCCCCGCTCATCCTCTCATTCACCCACCTGGCGGCACAGGGCAGCGTTGGGACAGAGCACCAGAGCAAACTTGCGTGCTCCCACCCTCCTCCTCCTCACCTCTCCCTCCTCTCCCAGCCTCCCCTCACTCCTTCCCTCACTCCTCCCCTCACTCCCCTCCTCCTCACCCGCCTTCTCCTCTTCCCTCTCTGCCATCTCCCTCCGTCTCTCCTCCTCGCGCCACGTCAGCACATGACTCAGCACAGGTGCCAGGTAGGCATGCGTTTTCCCGCTGCCCGTTTCAGCAGCCACCACCACGTCTGATTTGGATAAGATCTGCGGAATGGCGCCAGCCTGCACACAATATCGAGTGTGAGCACAATGGAGATGAAAAAGAACGAAAACAAAATCATGGGGGGCCGGGGAGGGGGACGGGGGGTGGCAGTATCTGGGTGACATTCCAGGCGTGCAAACAAAATCGAGTGTGGTTATAAGGGATCTCAGAAAAACAAGCAGAAAAACGAGGGGGGTTTCTACAGACTACGGGGAATGGCGCCAACCAGCGCAGAACCCAAGCCTGGTAAGGACTAAACCTCGTCCCACGCTGCAGGCTCCCTGAGATCACTCAAGGGCCAACAGACGCTCAAAGCCTGCTCTTCACGGAGCCTCCACCCGACCTATGACAACTCCAAAGCTTAAACACCACCCCTTCTCTCTTACCACGCCGCCAACCTCAATGGCTGACTGACGGCCGCTCGAAGCGTGCCCTGCACATGGCCACCCCACGTCACACGTGTCGCATCGAGGCCGACAATAGTCCCATGAGGAATCCAATGCCCACATGAGGAATCCAATGCCCACATGGTCGCTACAAAGCCCTTCCTTTCAGTTTACAGCCCACATGGTCGCTCGGGGCCTGCCCCCCGCATTGCCTCCCACTGCCCTGCAAGCCCACATACCACCTCGCACCTCACCTCACCTGCTCGCACCTCACCTGCTCGCACCTCACCTCACCTGCTCGCACCTCACCTCACCTGCTCGCACCTCACCTCACCTGCTCGCACCTCACCTCACCTGCTCGCACCGCGCACCTGAATGGCTGACGGCCGCTCGAAGCCTGCCCTGCACATCGCCTCCTCCACCTCCCCCTGCAGCCCCAGGCTCTGCCACGTCACGCCCACGTCAGAAAAGAACACGTCATCCCAGCCCGTGACGTCCACTCCCCCTTGCTGCATCGCCACCTCCGCCACTCCCCTCACTCCGCCCTCCCCTCCTTCTGCTCCCCCTTGCTGTACCCCCTCTTCCGCCACTCCCTTTCTGCTGCTCTCCCCATCTGCTTCTCCTCCGCCTGCTGCAATGCCACCACCTTCCCTCTGCCTGTTCTCGCTATACCCCTTCCCCCCTCCCCCCTCCACCGCTCCCCTCGCCCCGAGCGTGCACGCCTGTGCCTCGCCTCCACGCTCTCCCCACGCTCTCTCCCTCCAATCTTCCCCACCCGTCTCCCCTCGTCCTCCTGCCGCTTTCCCAACAGCAGAAACCCCTTGAGTTTCAGACGCCTCGCCGTCAGATGCCCCAAAACTCTCCCTGCTACGTCCACTTCCCTCTCCTCCCTCCTCCTCCGCCCCCCTCCAATTCCCTCCCTCTGCTTCCCCAACACTCCTCGTAACCGCTCCCCATCGCCTCTCACCATCCCCTTTCCCTTCCCTCTCTGCCCCTTCTGCACCCCCCTCCCTTTCCGCGCCCTGCCACCGCCCGGCCCTCTCGTGTCTCCCGTAACCACTGAACCTGCTCAACTCGCTTTGCCTGTCCTGCCAGCTCGCCCGTCCACGACTTGCCCTGCCCTCTCTCTTCTCATGCCCTTCCTGTCTCCTAGGACCCTCCTCCTCTCCCCGAAATCTCCCCTCCTGCCCCTTAAAACCCTCCCTCTGTCCCCGAAACCCCTCGTCATTTCCCCTTGAGCGGTCTCCGCCGTCTCTCCTGAACCCCTCTCGCCCTCCCCGGCCTTCACTGCTTGCGAATCTCTCTCGCCTTAACCCCTCTTTGTTAAAACCCTCTTCCCGAAACCCTTCTCTCCCACGCCATTCCTCGTAATCCCCAGCACTTGCGGCCCTCCTCCTGTCGTTCTCTCCCCGAAACTCCGTCCTCCCACGTCTCTCTTCCTCGCTTCTAAACCTCTCTCTCCCACGTCTCTCTTCCTCGCTTCTAAACCCCTCTCGCCCACTGCTATCACCATAGCTGCCGGCACTTACACCCCCTCTCCTGCCCTCCTTTCTCCACATTCTATTCCTCTCCTCTCTGAACCCCTCGCTCCCTCTCCTCTCCTCTCCTTTAAACCCCTCTCTTCCCGAACGCACTTCAGTACCCCTGTACACATCCTCGCCCCTCTTGAAACCCTCCCTCCCTCTCCGCCCTTCACCAACCCGAAAACTCTCTCGCCTATTTCCCCATTCCCCAGGTCCCCATGCGTCACTCCTACCGCTCCTAAGACCCTCGCGTCCCTTGCGCTCGTCTTCGCCCCTAAAACCCGCTGCCCTGTTCCTCCCGCCCACGCGTGGCTCCGAGTCCGTCCCGCCGTAACCCTCCCTCGCTAAACCCTTTGTGAAAAACGAGCCCTTGTCGCCACGACGCCAATGCCCTGAAGACACGTGGCGAGAGGAGGAGGATGCTGGAGCGGTTCGTCTAACCACCCCGAGGGACGGCGAAATCGGACCGACGGCGGTATGGAAGCGTGTGGAATATTCTAAAGCTAAGAAGTGACAAGATTTACGTACTAGGAAGAGTAGACGGGACGCCATGGCCACGGAGAATAGGGCAGGAAGAAATCGAGATGGAAAAAGAGACAAGTCGAGAATGTGTTGTGACGAGGCGTGTTCTTAGGGCGCGTGACATTTGAAAGTGGGTTCGGATATAGGCCACTGGAGATGGTAACCAGCTTCGCAAATGTGTGCTCCGTCATTTGCTCCTAGGTGAATGCACTCGTTGAGCGAACGAGCTTGAGCGGTATAGTTCAATTCCGTCTTGAAAAAGACTGTATCACGCCCTGACATACGCACTTCAAAAACAACTTCTAAAGCTTTGCTGGAGAGAGTATTAGAAGCAGGAAAAGCGCAGGATTGAGGGTGGTCGCGAGGGTGGTCGCTGTTGGAAACAATAAGTCTTAAGTGCGCTTCTGTCGTGTCGAAACCCAAGACACTAGCGAAGCAGTCCGAATCGAAGCATCGAGTCAAACCTCGGAGGTTAGGGTAACCGCCTGGAGGTTACGAGAAAGTCAAAGGTCAGCGACCTTTGACTCGACAATTACAGCGCGACAGTTAAGGACACACAACTGACTCGTTACAGAGAATTTGCCCGAGTCGCACTGTATCGAATCGCAACAGCAATACAGTTATCTATCTATTCGTATTCCCTGTACCCTTATATAAAACCTTGTATTTGCTTGTTTGATTTAATCTACTTTGCTCTCACACACTAGTGCAAGGTCGGTTCACAAGATTCATTAAACGCTTCCGCTATTACAAGTTTCCTACCCAGAGTTATCCTCTGCAAAGATCCTTAAGGGCCTTCTCAGCCCAACATGGTATGAGAGCTGACAGGGGAAACTCTAAACTTTTTATATTACAAGACATGGCAACAAACAAGGAAAGGAGCTCCCCTAATGGCTCCTCGGGCACTACTCCTACTCCACCACCAACCTCTGGCCTGCAGACAGAGGAAGGCACGGCAGCAAGACCAAGGGGAACGTCAACCGAGACCCCCACGAATCACCCTTCTGACTTCGACCAGAGCATGATGGAGAAATTCTTCTCCTTCATGTCCTTCTACGAGCAACACCAGTAGTCGGGACCTGCACAGACACACAACAGCAACAACGGAGCGACACCCATGAGCCTTGATGGGTCGTCATATGCGCGAGGGAATCAACAGCAGCAACCCACCTTCGCCCCGTACGAGCGCGGGTCGATCAGCTTCCTGCCTCAACCTTCACCTGCGCAAGACAAACCAATGGACGCGTTACAAGTTCAGTCGCAATTCGCGCATGTTTTGAAATTACAAACGTCAAGACCTTTCGACGGAAAGGACTTCTTCACCTGGTCCTTTGAATTCGAGCTGATGATGGAGGGCGCGCAGATACTCGGCTTCTTCGACGGATCCCTGCAGTATCCAGCAAACGGCACACAGTATGAGAAGCAGCAGTATACGTATCAATCGATGATGGCGTATACTATTCTACTGAGAAACATCACACCAACCCAGCAGCAGAACATTCGCTCTTACCGGAACTTCGGCAACTCGGCGGAACTTGCGTACGGCCATCTGAAGAACCTGTATCAGGCAACAGACAGTGTAAACCAGAGCAGGTTAATGGCGCAGTTGACAACAGTTGAAATGAAACCAGGAGAAAAGGGGTTGGCGTATATCAGCCGATGTCGCGAATTGCGCGACAAGCTTCTTCGATGCGGAGGATCAATATCTGAAGACGCCTTCGTAACAGTCGTCATCGGTGGCCTCGGTCCTCAGTGGCGCGCCACCAAAGCAATTCTTCGAGCACACGGGAGGATCTCCGAAGCGGCACTCTGCGCCGAAATCCACGCCGAGCAGCAGGATATGGACCTGCAAGAAGAAAGGCACAAGAAAGGGGCATTAGCACCGGAGTTCGCTTTCCACACTCAGCGACGACACAACAACTACAACAACCGACAGCAGCAGCCGAAGTCAGTACCTCCGTTTTGTCACATCTGCAAAACATCAGGACACCCCCGCACGCATTGCCCGTCTCGTCAGACAACACCACAGCGACAACTGCGGCCTTCAAGCTCACAAGTTGCTTCAACGCAAGCAAGTCCGACAACAACGATTCAAGCTTCAACAACTTCAACTGGACAACCTGCACAAGGAGCAAGAAACATAGTCAACTGCATGGTAAAGATAAACGAATCTTGCACAACAGAGTCACCACCCCATTACTCACTAGAAGAGGAGCTCGACAACAGGACGCCTCGCCGCGAATCACTCCACCCGAATCCGACTTACGCCGCCATCGCTCAAAGTGAACCGTCCGGCCAAGACACTTGGTTCTTGGATAGTTGCTGCGGGCAACACATGTGCTCGTCCGGGCGCTTCGTACAACGCGAACATCGACTCCAACGAGAAGTGATCATCACGGTCGCCAACAATCAAAACCTGCGCACACGACGACAAGGAGTGGTACAGCTTCAGTCAAGAGAAACAAATGTCATACTGCACATGTCTAAGGTACTCATTGCTGAAGGACTCGGTTACAACTTACTGAGTGTTAGCCAGCTGATGGCGAAGGGGATTCACCTGGAAGCCGACAGCACCACCCAGGAGTTCAAGCTATACCACGGGAAAGGCGGTCTCTACATCGGGAAGGCAGTGCTGAAGAACAACGTTTTCGTCCTCGACTTCGTTCCTGACCTGGGCACTGCAGACAGCGACGCCATCGTGAATTTTACTGATTGGACACACCCTCCTGATCTCGACCCCGACTTCAGCCCGGGAGGTTTCTGGTACTCCCACACTATCCCTGAAGCAGAACGAACAAGAGCGTTAGCGACGATTCAACAAACATCGGCAGCAGCAACAACATCGGCAGGAGCAACAACATCGGCAGCAGCAACAACATCGGCAGCAGAGACAACATCAGCAGCAGCAGGAACAACGACACCGGTCACAGTCGACGAAGCACCACCAAAACCAGCGCAACAGCTGAATCCGACTCAACGTGAAGTCCACCGAAGCGCCAACTTCGTCGCCAGTTTTTACTCCAACTCCGACGCATACCAACGTTCACCCGGACACCGCGCCTCTGAAGAGATCTGGCACGCGCGCACAGGACATCCAAGCAACACGGTTTTAAATAACACGATAAGAGCAGGAGTTCTTGACAAAGACTCGCTACTTCTACCCGATGGCAGAGAACTCCAGAAGGCACGAGGGACTTGCCTTATATGTCCCGAAGCTGACTTACCTCATCGACCGTTCGCTCCACATCACAACCTGAGCGCTCCAGCGTACGCACCACTCAAAAAGGTCTACAGCGACATCCTCTACAATCGCGAACCAGGACAAGTTAACTACAACTACACCATCACCTTCATCGACGCCGCCACTCGATATGTCTGGCATCGTAACCTACCCAGCCGCGACATGGCACTCGCAGCATTCGCCGCCTGGCTACCGATAGCAGAGAGAGAGTCTGGAACGCAACTGAAAAGCTTCCAGTCAGACGGAGGTGGCGAGTACACCTCTCAGCGCTTCAAGCAGTTCCTGGCGGAAAGGGGGATCAAGCAACTCCTCTCCCTTCCCTACGCACATCAGCAGCAAGGTGTCGCAGAACGAATGAACAGGACTCTGCAGAACAGCATGCGCAAACTGTTACGTGGCATGCGGCTACCCAACCACCAGTGGCCAGCAGCAATGGACCATGCTGTCATGCTGCACAACTTGTTGTCGTCGTCGTCACTCCCGAACAACGCATCACCGCATCTGCTGTGGACAGGGAAGCAGGGCAGCACAAAAATGTTACGAGTCTTCGGGTGCATGGTACAGTACAGACCCCTAGAAGCACGAGCGGGAAGATTTTCACAACGGGCACAGTGGGGACTACACCTCGGCATCGAGAAAAATTACAACGCGTGGAGAATCTTCGACGTCCACACAAAAGAAACAGTAGCAGCACGAGATGTGATCTTCTATGAACGCCTCACCCTTCAGACGTACCTCGCCAACTTGCACGAGAATCGGGACCTCACCAGTGGCTTTCGTGGTGACCGAGCCTTCGCGTCAGCAGCGGATGAAGCAGACTGGGATGAGCAGAACGTCGACAACGCATCGGAGGAAGCCGGACCTCTTCCGTACTGCTCCGTCAACATGCCCATGGATGAGGATAACCCTCGCGACAGTAACAACGCCGAAGTCTTCTACCATCTCGCCGACAATGGTTACGTAACACCTGCGACAGTCAACACCAACAAAGTAGAAAGGGTAGGGCCTAATTTCATACCCGACCCAGAAGCGGGAGACGAAGCAGCTTATCCCGAGGATCCAGAACTCCCTCGATACTCACAGACTGGGCTGCAAATCCTTGGTCTCGTCACCGCAGTCCATGGCGCCACCATTCGTAAGGAGCCTGCGACGGTTCAACAGGCTCTGGGGGGGGAACACAGGGAGAAATGGCGTGAAGCCATGGACAAAGAACTGAAGGCACTGGAGGAGCGCAACACCTGGAAAATCGCTCCCATCGGCGTAGCACAAAACA